TCAGTTGGAATATCAGTTGAAGTATCAGTTGGAATATCAGTTGAAGTTTCAGTTGGAATATCAGTTGAAGTATCAGTTGGAATATCAGTCGAAGTATCAGTTGGAATGTCAGTTGAAGTTTCAGTTGGAATATCTATTGAAGTATCAGTTGGAATATCAGTTGAAGTATCAGTTGGAGTTGGAGTATCAGGAGTTGGAGTTGGGGTATCAGGAATTGGAGTTGGGGTATCAGGAGTTGGAGTTGGGGTATCAGGAGTTGGAGTTGGGGTATCAGGAGTTGGAGTTGGAGTTGGGGTATCAGGAGTTGGAGTTGGAGTATCAGGAGTTGGAGTTGGAGTTGGGGTATCAGGAGTTGGAGTTGGGGTATCTTGAGCTGAAACACATTTAATCGAAACAAACAAAACCAACGCTATGATTAAAAGTAAAGTAAAATGCTTCTTTTTCATCATCATAAAGTTAATTGACTTAAATTTATCGCTTTGATTTTTCGTTTTGTTAATAAAATTATTGTTTACTTTTTTTTTGAACAAAAGAATTTTATTCTCGTGATTAATCAGGATTTTTTAAAAGAATAAAAAAAAAGGATTTTTAAGAGGGTCAGTAACTGAATAGGCTTTTTATGCTAACGTTCTAAAAAAATATAGCAAAAAATATATTTGAATTTGGAATCAACTTACTACATATAAAGTTATTAATAGATCAAATGAAGCATTCTTGAAATAGTTGAATATCAATATTTGAACTTTGTGATACGAGATAATCAATATACTGAAATAACAAAAGATAATAGAAAAAGAGATAATTCTAAAAAGAACATAAATTTGAATAACGCCAAGAGATTACAGATGTTATCTAAAAAAACAAACAAAATACGAATTTGCTAAAGTTGTACGGGATATTTTCTTTTTTAGTAAAGAATATGATGCACTGCGAACGGACTTCGTGGATGCAGCGCCGTGATCACGAATTAGGAAAAACATATGGATAATGATAAATAACTAAATTCGAGATTCCTCATGTTGATCGTGACAAATTTGAAATCATAAAAGAATTAACATAACATAAAGTAATAACAATAATTATAATTAAAGTATTAAATATAACAGAAACCGCGCGTGTTCAGGATTCCAGATGCAAAAAAGTTACTATTCTATTAATTTCTCAATCCATAATATTACCCATCCTTTGAAAATTTAGCCTCCCATATTAAATGACTTGAACTATATTTTTGTCAAATGAATACGGTTCACAAAACAAAAATTCTTATTGTTACACTTTTAATCATATCATGATATATAAAACGAAAATAGACACATCGGGAAATTTATAAACCGTAACGTACGCATGTACATATATTACGACTAAAAAAATTTTCAGATGCACTTAGATCAAGAATTAAAACCATGCTTTTAGTTAAATCTATTTATATTCAATTTTTGTATTTATAAAATAAAATAAAATAAATAACGTAGAATTTATAAAATAAAAACCAAAATATACAAATTTACTTATTTTATATTCATAAACTTAAGTCTTAAAATAAATTCAGCTACAATTCCAAGAATCAGTAATATTAATAATAAATGCTACATTATTCACAACTCTATAACTGCGACCAGTATTAATAAAACATTCAGACAATCTTTTTTTTAAAAATAAAATGTAAAACTTACCAAATGTATGTCGAGTTCCGAAAAAATTTCTACCATCTTCCCAGGGATTTAATTTCTTGTGTCACAACATTTATTTTTGAACATGTAGAGTTACAGATCTTAATCTAACCAATAACTAATTTATTGTATGGCACGATGATGAGAATTCTGACAATACCCTTCGCTTGAAATTTTTTTAAAACAAAAATATCAAGAAATAAATGAGAAATATTAAGAAAGTAAAAAAAAAAATAAATCTAAACGCTCAGTATATGATCCATTTATATATATCACCAGTATTACAGTAAAATCCTACAAAAGTTCCACAGCCTCGAAATAATTATACAAGTGGTTCTATAATGCCTCTTCAAGCTAATCAAAAATATTAATAATTCGAAGGAGATTCACTTTCACTTTATCTTACTTTTATCTAATTAATTATACTGAATAATTATTGTATGTTAATAAATTGTAATATTATTAATTTGTAATTTAATAAATCATTATATTATAAAGTCTTTATGCCATCCTTGGAAATTTGAAGATAAAAATATCGATATAAAAGTATCCGAAATTTGTGTATTTTTTTTATTATAAAAGTATCCGAATTTTGTGTATTTTTTTATTATAAAAGTATCCAAAGTTGTGTACTTATTCTTATAGCTTCTTATAAAGTATCCAATAAACTGTCAGAATTCGAATCGGAGACTCCTACAATAAATACTAATTATTCTAATAAATGTAAATGATACTAATGATTGCTAAATAATACTAATACTAATAATTCTAATACTAAGTTATTATCTAATAATCTATTAATTTAATTAATTTTAAATGAATATTTGAGATAATTTTGTTCTTTTTTATGAGAAAGAAATTATTTACATATTGGTGTAATGAATTTAATTAATGGGTTTCAAGATGCTAATTAAGTTTTGCCATTAACATTACAGTAAAATAAACGATCGATAACAAGCATTCTTTTTTTTTTTGCCACTGTATAATCTCTGATAGATAAAAAATTAAACAATGTTATGAAACACCATTTAAATCTGTAATTCATTATTATATTATAAATAAAAACAAAATTTTGAAATTTTTGACCATTAAAAAATTAACGTGAAGTATGATGGTGATATACAGTATATTTTTTTTTATTTAAGATAAAATCAATTTTCAATATTTGAGTATTTATTAATAATTTATTATGATAGCATTATTAATAAGTAATCAAAAATTAGTCATGTTCATTATTTAAAATTATAAAATTTAACTTTGTAATCAAATTTTTTTATATAGCTACATAAAATATATTTTTATGGTTAACAGATATTTTCTTTCATTGATATTCCATTTTTTTAAAAAAAAAAAAAATTCTTAGTAGAGATAAAGACAACGTGAAACTGTTGAATGGATTTTATATGATTGCATCATTGGAGATAAATTTAATTTACTTGATGAATTTTCAAAATATAAGAAAATAGAAAATGGATAAAAAATGAAACAAAGGTGAGGTGTAAAAATAATTATTTTTATTTTAATAGAAATATCAAGAATTCTTAGAATTACTTAATTGTTTCGTATGTTTTGTATGTTTCACATTTAATATTTCGTTTTATTGTTAACAAATATTGTGAATGAGAATTTATTTTAAGAAATCAAATGAACATAATTAATTCTTGACGTGTAAATACGATAATCTCCACTATACAACACTATATTATGGAATCAGGAAAATTTAGGTTTAAATATTTTCTACATGAATTATTGTTGCATTCTTTTGCACAAGTAAAACTCTTCACAAGAACTCCGAACACTGATTAAAATTGATTTGTTAAAGTAAAAAATACTTTAGATTCCGTAATGTAAAATGAGGATCAAAAAATCGATCATTAATTATAACAAATCACATGAAATTTTACTGCCGAAGATCCTAACTTTATTAATGATTTTCGTTCACCCACAACGTTGGCTCATCGAGTTTACTAGAACCGTTTGGGGATATTTTGCCACCCACCCATCATGAATCTTTCCAAATCATTCAAATTTTTTGGCATCCGTTTCTTTACAATTGCCGAAGGTTTTCTACATAAAATTCAGCATTCATAATTTGTATAAAACAAAAAAAAACTTGTTTTTCCTTTTATACAAAAACCATCCCATAATCTTTGTACGATCTTTAGGCCTACAACGAACCTGTCTTTCTCCTTTGCACCAACGTTCTACAATGTTTCTAAAAAGTTGAAAGCAGTTTAGTCAGTAAATACTGTTTTATTCCATCGATCATTAATGTGTTTTGGCCATTCTTGTGTGCTTTAGTTAACATAGGGGTTGTTTTGGGAAGTTTTTTAAATATCTAATACTTGCAAGGTGCCTTCAATAGTTTTGTACGATACTTTTATACGCATATTTTCCAATTATCTTGCCAAAGTTCTTGTAGAAAGAGATGTGTCATGTCTTATTTATTGACGAAGCGCTTAGAGCATTTGCGACAATTTTTTTGGGTCAACCGTTCCCTCCAGCATGCTTTAATGAACCTTAATTGTTTTTATTTTTTTATGTTTCTATGAATTGTAGATATTAGAATATTTGTAAGTAAAGTTTCGTGTTAACAAAAAATAATTGTACAGCATAGCTATAAATATAATATACCTACATGCCGCCTAAATTCAGAAAAGGAAATTTTAGACGGCAAGATGGTACAAATTTAATTTTAGCTAGGGGATAGTTAATTGACAACACAGAGTTACACAATATAAATTTAAAATAGTGATTATTGCTAAAACTGAAGCTATATATAATTTACTATGTATTACTATATAAAAGAATTTTTATCCGATTTTAAAAAAATTATAAATGATATATTTAAAAAAATCATGAATTAATAATAATTATGCATGAAAAACATGATCTTCAGGAATCCGTAAACACAGTTTTCAGACGTGTTTTATTTTTCATTCTTGTAAAAACTTGAATCAGCAGTTTTAATATTTCAAACTTATAAGAAAAATATATTTTGTATTCAAAATGGTAAAGGAAAAAATTTTTTTTTCGAATTTTTACTAATAAAATTATAATTTTCTAAATATAAAATAATTATTTAGGAAAATAATATTTCTTTTTTTTAAAAAAAAGGAAGAAGCTTTACAAGAACTTATATGTATAAGACCAGATCTCAAAAGAAAAAGATGTATTTTTTTCCAACTTAAATAAATATTTTGAAGGCATACTTTTTTACAATACAAAAGAAGCAAAAGTACAAGTATATTGTATTAAAAAAAGATCAAATGTTTGATACTTTCTCTCAATAGATAGATTCATTAAGGAAACGTGAATTATTCAAAGGATACAAATTGACTATTTTAACAATAACCTAATCCTACAAGTTCATCGATTGCAACTATTTTATGTGAGCCTGATTATAAATCATACTGGAAAAAATGATTTTTGATAAATACTTCAGATATACTTAATTATTTTCAAGAAAAAATTTTACCTGTAACGAATTTGCTAGAACTGCAATACAAGAAATAGTGAAGGATTAGAATTTAGAATTCCTGCAAATAAATATAAGAGTGAAAAAAATCAATAATCTTTTTCAAAAGCAGATTATATAGTTATAAAATTTATGTGCTTAATAAAATGGTACAAGATGATTATCTTCCTTTTCTAACCAAGATAATGAAAAAAACACTTGAAGATATAATTAACATTGTTTAT